CTCTACCCAGAAAAGCTTCAAGGCTCCTGGCTGAACTGTTACAGACTCAAAGACTACTCCATTCAGTACCTGATAATAATCTTATATTTTCTCAGAGTCCTCAAAGATAACAATGCCCACAAATAACAGGAAGAAGTCTAGAGAACTATGCCCAATTTCCAAAAACCTGGGTTATGGATATTTGTTATTGTTTAAGGGGGTTTTCTTACAAGATGTTATTGGCAATTCTCAGAAAGAAAAAGCTAAACAAAGGAGATTAGATTCAGGGATCACTTTCTAAAAAGGAAAAAATTGGGATATAGAAATCATTTCCTAAAGGATAGATTATTGTATAACTTTTAAATCAAAAGAGCAGCTACTAGTCTTAAATATTTTACATCAGTATTTATTTTTGTATACTGATAAAAATTTAAAATTGATTTTGTTACACAGTATGTATGTTTCTACTCTTGTATATCATATTCATGCATCTCATTTAAAAATTACAATATAATTTAAATATAGATTAATAGACACCTATAATAGTCAAACTTATAGTCATGGTAGGTATGATTTCAAGGTTATAAATGGATATATTTGATAGATATATGGTCTTAAAACACTTCCAAGGCCTATAGAATATGGCACTTAATTTTTAATAACTTAAGGCTTTTCATGAATGTGAGACATGTCTGTTCTTGGTAGCAACACTCTACTTCAGAGAAGATGATAGTCATCAAAGAAACTTGGTATGGAGTTTGTTTTCTTATGGCAAAATCTAGCCATGTGGGCAAAGAAACTGCCCTTGCTTTAATTGCTGATAGTTACTGTTCAAACAGGACCAGCAGGTCTCAAGGAAGGTGACTGTTAAATTCGCCAAAAAAAGATATAATAATTCTTCAAAATTCCCTACGCCGAAGTATAGTACATCAAATGTGGTAAACCTGTAGGCCAGAGTTGGATGCCCCAAAGCTGTAAATGTACTTTGGATGCATGTCCAGGCAGGCTGAGATCCCTATCATTAGGTAACATTTTATCCTTCTGGGGTCTTTGATGGAGCTGATGACTGGATAAATAAAGTTACAGTCTTCATTAATTATGATAGACAGTAAATAAAGTACAGAAGTTTAGAGACATAAAGGTAAAATACATAATAAAATATTTATTTTCTCTAATTTCACAAAATACAAATAGACTACATGTAATTAAAATTCTTACTTGATGATTCTTTTTGTTGTATATAATTTTACTATGTTAAAACCATCCTTTTTTATTACATGAAAAGTGGGAAATGCTGTGGGATAATTCCTTTGTACACTGAAAAGTTTTGTCACTGTATTTAGTTTAATATTCAAACTGACTAGCCAATAGCTGAACAGAATAAGAACATGAAAATGAAAATGCTTTGAAGGAGTCACCAGCCAGATGCAGAACAAGCCAGACATGTGAAATGGAATAGAAGTAAAAGACATGAACCTTGGAGCAACGCATCGTTTAATAGAAATGGTTTAAGTTGTAAGAGTTACTTAGTAACAAGCCTGAGCTACTGGCTGAGCATTTATAATTAATATAAATTCTCCATGTTGGTTATTTGGAAGCAGGCAGTCAGGACAGGAAATCTCCATATACAGTCTCATGTCAGTTTCAAAATAGAAAGTCTAATGTCTCTTCTGCCAAGAGATCTTTTAGACAAAATAGCATTGTTTGAAGTTTTAACATTGTATTTATCACTAGTGTGTGTGTGTGTGTGTGTGTGTGTGTGTTTGTGTGTGTGTGTGTGTGTGTGTGTGTGTGTGTAAAGAGAGAGAGAGAGATCAAAAGATGATTTTCAGAAATGTTTTCTCTGTCCATCATGTCTTCTTGCTTGTTTAGGCTTGTCTGGCAAGTGGATTTATATAATAAGTGATCTGGCCCATCCAATTCCAACAATTGAAAAAAACTAGTAATTTTATGATGTTCCCTATAATAATAAATCTAATAGATCTCTATGTCAATTAGTGCCCAACCTCAAGGCAATTCATTAAGTATTCAAATGCTTTAGGGATAGTCGTCAAATTGCTTGCAACCCCAAAGGGAGGATATCTGAAGTCAAATAAAAATCTATAAATTGTCCTAAAAATATAGTTATAAGAAATGCATGAGAGAATAAAGTGATTGTTTTCATTCCAATAAAAAAGTGGAAGGTTTGATAAGATACTCTTTTTTGCTATTATCTACAGCAGTGGTCACATGTACTCTGGATTTTAAATCTAAGGTAAGATTTTATTTCTGATTCATTATCTATGATTCATTCTTATTCTACCAAATGCCTGAGGATTCTTTCTTTCATCATATTTATTCTCCGACATTTAAAGATTAAATATTTAAGCTGTGTATTGGTGCTTAGAATGTATATATTGTAGAAATATATTTTAATCTACAGATTTGAAAAGTAAGTGGAAATCAAAGTTGAGTAATTGGAAAATAATATTTTGGAGAGAAAAATTGAAATTATATATTTTTACTTTAAGTATTTAAATGACTCAGACTCTTCTTGTCATGTTAATGAAAAGATGAAAGAAATTCACTATAATTTGCTTATAAAGCAAGGAGAATTTATGCTTCATAAGGAGATACTGAAAAACTTGGTATTCTCTGGTCACTTTAAAGCACCCCTTTTATGATAACACTCACAATGTCTGTACTGTGGAATGTCATTGAATTTTACAAGTTATAGTATTAGCCACTCTGTAATGCTAACATAGCTTTAAAAAGGCAAGATGTTTTGTTATAAATAATATGAGAAAGTTGTTTGAAAGAGATACAGAATGGCTATCACATAACAAAAATCAAACAAATCATATTTCATTTGAGAAAAGAATATTTTCCTGTGATGATATTCATATATATGATTATATATTACATTAGCCTACACTATACATATTAATATGAATTAAAATTGCATGATCTCATTTATTTGGATGATGTACACATGTAGATGTTGGCCACTATAGCTTTTACTATAACTTGTGCTGTTTTCATTTAACTTTTTTTGACAATTGCTGTTCACAATTTGTATTCTATTTAATTTTCTTAGCTGAAAGTTAATTATATGCAGCTGTGTTATACTCCATAATTTCCAGGTTACTAAAATCATTGAGTTTTTTGTATTTGGTCATATGTTTGCTTATCTGCACAATGTGCTGTAATATATTTGGAGAAAATTTTCGTGGCAATGTACACTTATATACAGATATATGTATGTGATTGATGTATTTCATTCATTTTCTATGGTATTGTCCCCTTTAATACCAGTTTTAAACATAGTAGACATTCATAGAATTTCTCATAAAATGCTCAACCTACACAGTTTTTAATAATTATTTATTACTTTGTCCAAAGTACTTTATATGAGACTTAATTGCATAAAACCAATTTAAATAACCTGTTTTCCTCAGTCTTCTCAAAGGTACACATATTTTCTATGTTGTGGAACTATATATTTGATCATATTTATTATATTTAGATAAATATATTTCTGTTGCAATGGAAATGTCCACAATGGAATGATAATAATTTTATTACATATATACAAATATAAGTAACTTTAAAATACAATTAAAATTATAAACATAAGAAAAGCAATCGATAAACAACAGAATTTTGCTTTTCTGATTTTAGAGGACAATGAGAACCAGTGGGCAGTGCTCTGGGATAATTTGAAAGTCTGTGCCTTAATGAGCACTTTTGCACTTATTCATCATTCTATCACAGTAACAGAATTTAAGTCCTTCCACAGAAAATATACATGTAAATAAGCTCTTTCCTCCAAGTTTATTGGGGACTAAAGAGGAAATTCTAAAGGATGAAGCAAAAAGGTATAACAGGACTACATGGTAAGTTCTTATCTCAAAATAGTTCTAAGCAAATCATGATGTTCAGTAGCAGAGCTCTTGCTTAGCATGATGAAGGTCCCTGGTATAATTCCAAGTACATGCAAGCACAAACCAAGATCACTATAAATAAATACAATTGAATAGCAGGATCCTTTCATCCTCCTTCATCTTTCCAACATGATAAGGACTTCATGGCTTTCAACATAGGTAAAGAGGTGTACCCATATATAGCTTGTGCAAGGTAACCATTGAGTGTTTCACATATCACATACCATGCTGTACACTGTATTTATAGGAATACCATTACTTTTTGTTTATTCACAAAGACAGTTTAAATTGTTCTGTGTTGTAATATTTTGAATTTTCATATATGTTCAATATTTACAAGTGTTTAGAAATGTATAACACCTATACTTATAAAAACTGTCCTTTGAAATGATGATTTATATATGCATTTTCACAATTTGGTACGAAGAAAGCAGAGACTAAAATTATAGTGTACTTTGTGAAACTGGTTGTATTGATTGGCAATATTTCATGTTTGTGTAAACATATAAATCTAATATTTATTTTTAAATTTTGATTTATTTGTATCATCTACATCTGAATGTCTATCATGCTATCTTATCTACCTATTATACCAATCTGCTATCTTATTCCTTCCTTTCTTCTTTCCTTTTTATCTCTTTGTATCCATCCACCTTTCCTCCTATTTTTCTTCCTTGCTTCATTTTGATTTCCCTTGTTTGTTCCTTCTTTCCTTCCTCCTTTCTGTCCTTCCTCAATTTTTCCTCCTGTCTTTGAATTCATAATTAAAAAACAATGGATATTGCTTGTGGTTGGAAGTTGGATATGGAAGAATTCATTGTCAATAACATTTAACCTCAACATTTAAATGAATAAAGTATCTGAGACACTGAATGATTTTAACTAGAAAAGTACCTTATATGAGAAACAAAGCTCTCTCTGTCATTTATGTATGTATAGAGGATGTGCATTTATTCCAAATTGTTCCGTGTTAAACTTTGAATATACCATATTTAGAAGACATTTATCTTAGTAAATAGCTTGAAGGTAACAATGTCTCAAGTCTTTTGACTACAGGATTTTCTTTTTCATCCAAAAGAGAATCTAAAATACACCTGAATGGAGAAGGGGAATCTCACAGTGGTAACTGAATTCATTCTGAAAGGCATCACTAACCTTCCTGAACTGCAGGCCCCACTATTTGGATTGCTCCTCATTATCTATTTGATCTCTGCAGTGGGCAATTTGGGCATCATCATCCTCACCAAGGTGGACTCCAGGCTGCAAACACCCATGTACTTTTTTCTAAGACATCTGGCTCTCACTGATCTTGGATATTCTACAGCTGTGGGACCCAAATTGTTAGTTAACTTTGTTTCAGAACATAATTCAGTCTCCTATTATCTTTGTGCTACACAGCTAGCCTGCTTTCTCTTTTTTATTACTTGTGAACTTTTTATTCTCTCTGCCATGTCCTATGACCGCTATGTGGCTATATGTAACCCTTTGCTCTACATGGTTATCATGTCACAAAGAATATGTTGGGTACTGGTGGCAATTCCATATTTCTACAGTGTATTTGTGTCTCTAATAGTCACACTAAGGATATTCACTTTATCTTTTTGTGGCTACAACGTCATCAATCATTTTTTCTGTGATTGTATCCCATTGATATCTTTGCTTTGTTCAAATACACATGAGGTTGAATTGATAATTAGATTCTTTGCAACTTTTGATTTGATTTCCTCTCTTCTGGTTGTCCTTGTGTCTTACCTGCTTATCTTCATAGCCATTCTGAAGATGAAATCTCCTGAGGGAAGGCAAAAGGCTTTTTCAACCTGTGGGTCCCACTTGACTGTGGTTACTGTCTTCTATGGGACTTTGATATTTATGTATGTACAGCCCAAGTCCACTCAATCATTTGAGACTGATAATGTGTCTTCCATATTTTACACTCTTATTATTCCAATGTTGAATCCCTTGATCTATAGCTTGAGAAATAAAGATGTAAAAGATGCCATAGAAAGAACCTGGAAAAAGATAGTCAATATCTTTCCTTAAAAGTTGCATACAACAATAGCTACAAAAATATGCTTTGAATGTAAATCTACTGTTTTCTTCATAGCAAATATGTACAGGCTCAATACATATTTCATGTACATGAATCCTGATACTAATCCAACTTTATTCATTACAACTATATTATGGAAGAGAAGAAAATAAAAACAAACGCTCTTTGCTTCCTCTCGGGGAAGGTAAAATTTGCAATGAAAGTACTTGAGTACTGTCTGTAGAGGGTAATATTGGGTTGAGGGTCAATTGATGAGAAATATGTGTTACTGAGACCTATCATGCTTGGGAAAACCAAAGTGGCCTTGAATAGTTTGTGACATTTTTTGTCATTACAGTGAAAATTTCAAGCTCCATTATGTGCTCATATCTTTGCTTCTGCTTTCTGCAAATGCAGACTTTCTTCTTTAGGCTACAGTTCATATATGTGCATATCTTAAGATCAAAATTGTTTATGAAGTCAGAATTACTAATTGGAGTTCATGAGTAGAGTAATTCATGAAAAAAAGTTCAACTAATGCCCCCTCATGATAAATCTAAATGCATTCCCTATTCCGTCATTTATTCTGTCTTTTATATATGAAACTGCTCACCCTACATGCCATTCTGCAATTAAGAGAAACTGCAGCATCAGTACTTAAGTAACTTATGGCATGCCTGTGCAAAAGTGAATCCACCAGATACTATGTTTATCTAATGTATTCATGTTCTGCCTTTGGACTGATCATGATTTTGTACCAGTTTGAACTAGATTCTTACTGACGTTTTAGCACTATTGTTACTTGACTTCTTTAAATTCAGATAATTCTTATGTAAAACAGTATTTTTGTCACTAAGTTCTTCCATAAGATGTCCCTTATTAATTTGTGTGTTGCTTTTCTTCAGTCTGATATGTTGTGGTTTATCTTTAAACTTCATTCTGTCTTCTCACTGGGTATTTTAATAGCTTTTATTTGATAATTAACCTGGATGAAGCTAACAGAAGCACTCTTTCATTTTGAACTATAATTTGTCTAAAAAAGTAGGGTAAATTAAATATTCATTTACAAACTTGTCATGTCTTCTACATACTCAGCATCCATTACATCAAACCCTCTATGCTACTACAATTTATGATACAGTTTTTAATATTTATAATTCAGTATTTTATTTTCATCATAGTCATATTGATGTCTTTTGTTAGTATGCTATCATTCATTCCATAAAATCATTTTATTCACATACATTGGAGAAACTATTTACTGAAATAGTAAAAGAACATAGGTTTTATTTATTTTTATTTTTTTATTATATGATCATATCTACATCTCACTCCCTTCCTCCTTCCCTCACTTCCCATACCTTCAAATGACTTGTCAGATTTACATGACCACTTGGATGGCATAGCCCTATATGATGAGTGAGGGGGGGTATGGGAGGAGGGTGGTCAGAGTGCATGTGAGGGGGGAGAGAGAGTAAGAGGGAGGGAGAGATGGAGGGAGGAAGGGAAGCAGGGAGGTAAGGAGAGGGCACTGGAACCAACATGTAAAAAATAAATAAATAAATAAAAATTAATATAAGGTTAACTGCACAATTAAATAATAAACAATGAACAATTAAATAAAATAAAAAATTGGAAAAGGAATGAAGATATGTTTTTGACTAATAAAGTATATACAGATGGTATAGCCAATATTACTTCTTGTAAGTAACATATATGGCTTAACATCCAAATTTATAATGTTATTGCTGTTTGCTGTTTGAAAAATAATACTTACATATCATAAACCAATAGGTACCAAGAAGTTACTGCTCCCCTATGCATGATCATACATAGTTCCTTGCCAGATTCTTTAAGTCAGAGCTTGTGAATTCAAACAATTTTTTACTTTTTAGCCCTCTATTATTTATGTTTATATCTGCTATATATTGAATGATTATTTCATGTCTCTTATGTGACTAAACAGTATTTTTCAAAGCTGAGAATTAGGTCTGAGGTTAAGAGTATATGCTGCTCTTGAAGGAACCAAGGGATTAGTTCCCAACATCAATACAGTATCCACAAACCCTGGCAATCCCATTCCGGGGGACACGGTGCACTCTTATAGTCTGCAGTTGTCAGATACACATATGCTGGGTATACACACACCAAGGCAAGCATTCATATACTTAAATTATACATAAGCTGAAAAAGTGTTTTACTAAATTTACATTAATTTTAAGCAGCAACTAGAAGTATAACAGATAAACTCATTTCCCATACTGAATTCCTTCCACAATATCTCTTTTTATATAAGAAACCTCTCTTCACTAATATTTACAAGGTTCCCTTTTCAAAAGCCCAACATTTCATCATGATTATTGATGCTCATGGTGATGAAATCATAGACTGAAAATAACTGTCCATGTGTGTGCAAATGTACTCCTACATGCACTGTCAGATATCTACAATTCAACATGGAAAAATATAATTGGGAACAATTAATAAATGAAAGCCTTAAATGTTAGTGTTCTTCCATGGTGCACATAAAATATTGGAAGACAGATAAAGTTTCTTTTTAATTATTAAATTACATAATAAGCTTAAAATCCATACAGAATTAGACACATCTGTGTTTAAGGGAAAACCAAATACTATTGTTCTGCTAAAGAAAAGGATCAATAAAGTGACTCCTAATGACATTCTGTCATACTCATTGATCAATTCCCTGCTCACTCATAATCAGAGAATCTCCCTTTTGCTCTAGTTGGGAGCTAATGAAAACACTCACAAGTGGGCAACATGCAGATAGTGAAATATTTTGAAATACTCAGTAGTAACTGGGATTTCTTTAGCAAACTGCTCCCCTCGGGGCTTAAGGAGCTATGGAGAAGATGAGTCAGAAAAATTGTAAGAGCCAGAGAGGGTTGATGAGTATAAGGAGACTATGACTTCAAGACAGAACAGGATGTATACACATATGAACTCGCTGCAACTGCAAAAGCATGTTCAGTGCTTGCATGGTTCAAGTCAGACAGGTCCCAGTGATGAGAGAACTGAGTACACTCAACTCCTTATCCATTACCAAAAAGCTGTCTCCAATAGACATCTGTGTATGAAGAAAGAAAACAATTTTTTTTCCTAATGGAAACTTTTATCTAATAGGGATATTACCCACAATTAACGATAAGTTCCATGGCTAGCAGTAGATGGCAAACATAAGAGAAAATCAATATTGTATTTGTAGTTTTTTTTTTCACATATTGCTTTGCTTGATTTTTTTTTAAATCATCATTCTTTGCTTATGTATTATGAATTCAGTATTTTTATGCTCTCTCTCTTTCTCTCTCTCTCTCTCTCTCTCTCTCTGTGTGTGTCTGTGTGTGTGTGTGTGTGTGTGTGTGTGTATGTGTGTGTGTGTGTGTGTGTTTCTTAGGCTTTTTTTGCCATTTTTTGTGTTTCAAGCTTGCTTTATTTTTGCCTGTTTGTTTTTTAAAGGGAGAAAAAAAAAGATGGTTTTATTTGTTTGCCTGTTTTCTAAGGAAAGGGAGAAAAAAGACTTGGAGTTTTTGGGAGATGACATGGGGAGGATCTTGGGGAGCTTGAGAGAGGGAGAACAGTGTTCAGAATATATTTATGAAAAATAGTAAGTATATGTGTATGCATGTGCATACATATGTGTTTAGAGCTTCTGAATAATGACAAGAAGATTAAAAAGTGGACACAATTCCACTATACTTCTGAGTATAAAAATTATAGTTATACTGACAAAAGTTTGTAGATATACAGTAAGATTATAAATCATATCAGACTAAGTAAAACACAGTAAATGAGGAAACATTCATTTTAAAATGTACAGTAGTTTTCAAAATTTAAACCATAATATTGCTTTTCTTTATTTATTTACTTTGTTTGTTGGTACAAGTAATTTGTTTGTGTGTATGTGTGTGTGTTCACACATTTATATCAGAGTACAAGTAAATAATGTGTGTATCAGTAATCATGGTTCCAGACAAAAGCATCAATGGATTATCTTAGAACTGGACCCACAGGCTGTTGTGAGCCACTATTTAGGTTTTGGAGATTGACCTTAGGACTTCTATAAGAGCAGTCCTGAACTTTTAACTGCTCAGCCATCTTTCTGGCCCCCACACTTCCTTATATTTAGAATTACAATTCTTCAAATGCTTATGAATACTCTCTTAAAATAGAAATGCAACTAGTGAATGTATAAAAATGAATGGTACTTACATAATGGATATACTTTAATAATATCTCCTGTATTGCTCTTTTAATCTTAGAAACTTTCTATTGACTATGGCTTAAATGGATGCTATGTAGCCATTGACAATTTTCAATAATTACACATTATAAAATATAATTTTCAGATCGGATGATATTCCAGTGACTATGTACATTTTATATGTCAATTTTATATTTGAGGTCATAAAGCAAAGAGTTTTAGAAATAACAGACATTTGTTGCTGGTCTTATAATATTAGTTTATTAAAAGTGAAATACAATTAGTGGACAGTCTCCAGGTATTTCATTAAGCATTATAACATTGTGGAATTGCCAGACACATCCGCAGGGAGACTCTTTAGAGTTTGAAGAAATATTCATAAACTACCATCTAACACTCTGTGTGAAATTATGAATGGGGGGATCAATGAGGAGTTTTCATCATAGGTAAGGGATGCAATACAGTTTATGATATCAGTACCTATAGAAAAGGATATAATTTGCTCTGTCTCTGTGATCAAATGTTGCTATCCTTTTGTATTTTGCTCCTGTCTTTTCTCCAACTTCCTGGAGGCAGAACAAGAAGATCCCCCTTTCATTTTAACTTAAGGAAAGTTGATAAGTAGTTTTTAAGCAGGCATATTTCATCTAGTCATAAAAATACTTAATTTTCTCTCTATATAGTATAAAATATGAAACATAAAGTGTGAACAAAGATGATATAACATTTTCAAGGCAGAAATGTTACTATCGTAATGTGCTTTCAAAGACTACAACATTGTAATTACAG